AAAAAATTAAAAATATAAATTTTTTAAAAAAACTTTTAACTTATAAAATATAAATAATATAAAAAAAATAAAACAGGTACAAGTTTCATTAAATATGCTTTAAGTTTCACAAAAAAGACATCAGTAGGTCAAATGTGATATTTCCCTATTCCACAAAAATAGAAATCCAAAATAAAAGTTAAATATTAATTTTGGTCTATCAACTTTAAAATTTTACATAATTTTTATCTTTTAATTTTTTTAAAGCTTTTTTTGATATTTTAACTATGAAAAGTACACTTTTTTAGTCTTTCGTTGTGTAATCTATTAAATTTATTTAAATTTATATATTTTTAATCCCTTAATTTTTAATATATACATATTTTTCATCTCTCAATTTTAAGTTAATGAATGAACTAGAAATGTGCAAATTTAAATAAACTTAACGAATTCACTTATGGAAGAGTTAAAAAAGTATATTTTTCATAATTAAGAAACTAAAAAATGTAAAAAAAAGTTGAGAAATGAAAGTTATGCACAATATTAAGTTGAGGGACCAAAATTGACATCTAAAAAAAAAGGAAAAAGAAAAGTGGGGGTTGGAAAATCAGAAGCCGAATAAAATAAATTATGGATACGGTCAGCTGTTTTTTTCCTTCACACGGTAGTTTAACACGAAAGTCGCGATTTTCAGAACTTCCCGGAATCGCAATTCCAAGTCGAGCTCAGGAGAAGTCATCGGACTTCGAATCTCCCAATCATGGACCTTGATATGGGAGCAATGGCGGCCTCGATCGGGGTCTCTGTTCCGGTTTTGCGCTTCTTGCTCTGTTTCGTCGCTACCATTCCAGTGAGTTTCTTGTGGCGGCTCGTTCCGGGTCGACTGCCCAAGCACCTCTATTCGGCGTTTTCAGGGGCGTTGCTGTCTTATCTCTCATTTGGATTCTCTTCGAATCTCCATTTCTTGGTGCCCATGTTGCTAGGTTACGCTGCAATGCTGCTCTGCCGCCCCAAGTGTGGCATCATCACGTTTTTCCTGGGATTTGGTTATTTGATTGGATGGTAAGTGTTCTTTTAATTCTTTACTTCTGAATGTTTTTGGGTTTTTTTTTTTTTTTTTGGCGGGATTAAATGAGTGTTATTATTATTCAGATTGCTGGCTTCTCTGTTTTTATTGCTTCATTTTAGTTTTGTTGCATCATTTTGTAGGAATGTCATTGACCAGTGTTAAGGTTTTTTCGTGTGAATCGTGTCTTTTGGATTTTGAGTTTTTGATTGTTTGCCATATGGAAGGTCCACATTCTTGCTTCTGGGTGTTGAAATGTTGGAAATAAGGACATTATTATTCTGGGATTGGGAAGGTCATGAATCACATAGGCTGAATGGTGTAAAACAGCTCATGCAGTTGATCCTGTTTAATTATGATCTTTTAAAAATTGGAACTTTGGAGGTTTGCTATCTAGTAAAAGAATCAAATGGGAGTAAGAGAGGATAATTTATGCTGTGAGAAATTTCACCTTGTGAATGCGAGAGCAATCGAGATGCATCATGATTTATGTATAAATAAGAGAGGCCATGGGCAAGGGAGGAGCTTAACACCTTTTGGTAATACATTTTGTTAAAAAGACAGAAACATTGATAGCATTTAAAAAACCAGTTTTTTTGTATTTCCAAACTCTATTGTTGGGTTACTCTGAAAATAGGCCTATGGCATTCATGCTCTTTGCCTAATTTATTATTTAGTCTATTTCCACCAGTCATAGGCATCGCACTTTTAAGCTTTAATCTTGGAGTTTGAAATCCATTTCTGATTTGAAAACTACAATATTATGCATTTACCTCAGCAGGAGATCTTCATGGTAATGGAATGTTGAAACTATTTGTTTATAATGTGATACTTCATGTGAAAGTTCATCTGCCTTTGATTATGAAGCATTAAGGATTTTATCCCATACACAAACTTTGGGGGTGTAGTGACTTCGTTATGCAACCTATTGATCATCTAAATATTGAGAGAAACTTTTACTGATTAATTTCAAGTGAATGATTGGTTTTTTAGTCATACCGTTGTCCTACATTAGCATTCTCTCTCTCTCTCTCTCTATATATATATATATGTATATATTTTAAAAGTTTTTGAAACTATTTTAATACGTGCATGAAGAATTCAGAATTTGTGAGTAATGTTTTAGTATTTCAGATATCTTGACTATTTATATACATTTGTAGCCATGTATATTATATGAGTGGAGATGCATGGAAGGAAGGAGGTATCGATGCAACTGGTAAGCTCAGATTAACCTTATAATTATATACATTTGTAATCATGCATATGTTAAGTGTTCTTTAAAATGCTGCTAATTTGGGTTAAATAAAGTCTTGATATATTCTCCTTTGGTAAATTTTTAAAGCTTCACTACTGTAATTGGTACTTGATTCTTTAAAAATTACAATCCTTGGTTTATTGTTCTTTTTTCCATAATAAAACATGTTAGTGTGAAAACTACTTAATATGAATCACTATTTCCCAACATATAGGAGCCTTGATGGTCTTGACGCTGAAAGTCATCTCATGTGCAATAAATTACAATGATGGATTGTTGAAAGAGGAAGGCCTGCGTGAGGCTCAGAAGAAAAATCGCTTGATTAAGTTGCCTTCATTGATTGAATATTTTGGTTACTGCCTTTGCTGTGGTAGTCACTTCGCTGGCCCAGTTTATGAGATGAAGGACTACCTTGAGTGGACTGAAAGAAAGGGGGTAAGGCTTGTTTATTTTCTTGAAGTTGATATATGTCTATGCTTTTTCTTTCAGAACTAATTTGCAGCTTTGGTAATTTTGCTTTCTTTTCATTTTAAGATTTGGGCTCATTCAGAGAAAGGACCATCCCCATCATCTGTTGGAGCAGCTTTACGGGCATTTGTCCAAGCTGCCATCTGCATGGCTTTATATCTTTACCTTGTACCCCACTACCCCTTGTCCCGGTTTACTGATCCCGTATACCAACAATGGGGATTCTGGAAACGGTTGAGTTACCAGTATATGTCTGGCTTTACAGCGCGATGGAAATATTATTTCATCTGGTCAATTTCAGAGGCTTCCATTATTATTTCTGGCTTGGGTTTCAGTGGCTGGACAGATTCTTCACCACCAAAGCCACGATGGGATCGTGCAAAAAATGTTGATATTCTAGGGGTTGAGCTTGTAAAGAGTTCAGTTGAGTTGCCACTTGTGTGGAACATACAAGTCAGCACTTGGCTTCGTCATTGTGAGTCTCAAGCTACTAAAATTTTATGTTTTGTCTCCTAATTTTTGATTGGATGTCATTTAATTTATTAATTTTATTGCTACTAAGCCAGAAACTTGGTCTTCATAATTTATTGATATATAAGGTACAAATATAAACTAGGGGTGACAGGATAAGGTAATAACATATCTGAAAAAAATAACCTATATCTTCTGCTGCTGTAGATGTTTATGAAAGGCTTGTCAAGAAGGGAAAGAAGGCTGGTTTTTTCCAGTTGCTGGCGACGCAGACTGTCAGTGCTGTTTGGCATGTGAGTAACCTTTTTGTCTTATTTATGAAAAACCATTTTGCTTTTCTGCAATTCATATATAAAAATAAGAATAAATAAATGAATAAAAATAATGAAAGTTTTCCTGTTGAACATATGGTACATTAAGTAGCGGATGATGCTATATTTAAGTTCGGTCTTCCATCAGCCAATTGATTATAGTTTGAATACGTTAGCATTTTATTGGAGTCAGGTCATTGTCCAACTGATTTTAGTCTTAGTCTAAACAACAGGTCCTATTATTTTCTTCATTGTGCCCTATAATCTTTTAATCAACATACTGGGTTTTGAGAACCATTTTTATCTATAATCTAGACTTGTTTTAATTTTCCCCCTTTCTTATTGGCAGGGACTGTACCCTGGATACATCATTTTCTTTGTTCAGTCAGCGTTGATGATTGCTGGTTCAAGAGGTATTATCATACCTAAACTTGATTTCTTCCCATAACTATCTTTTGTTTACATCGTACTTTCTTGCTTTTCAAACAGTTATTTATAGATGGCAGCAAGCTGTACCTCAAAATTTGGCTGTTGTGAAGAAGGGACTGGGATTCATGAATTTTGTTTATTCAATTTTGGTTCTGAATTATTCCTGTGTTGGTTTTATGGTTAGTTTACTCTCTCTTACACAACCACATTCTTACAACTTATGCACATACGTTTGAGTGCACAGTTTCTTGGACATAGATAAATCATCCTTTTCTACAGTTAGAAGTTGTTCTTAATATCTTTTTCTCATTCTGTACAGGTATTAAGCTTGCATGAGACCCTTGCCTCCTACGGGAGCGTGTATTACATAGGAACCATTCTTCCCATAGTCCTGATTTTCCTTGGTTACATAGTACCTGCAAAGCCTGCGAGACCCAATGCTCGTAAAGAACAGTGAGACGGAAACCTTGTTTCTATTCTTCCCAAGGTTGCTAGGAATGAAATCTATAGAATGGGAAATAGCTGCAATCCATTATTTTTTGGTTTTTAATACCCTGTTACTTGTTCTGTAGCACTCACTTTGATCTTGTTCTCCAGACCTTTGTTTCCATAGCTGTTTTAATTAAATAACATTGGGGTTTTGGAACATCAAGCAGTGGTATATGCTGTTGTGGTTTTAAAAGGTGTACCCTTACCTCAACCTATTGCATTGTTGGCCCCAGGACTGTCTTTCAAGATAATACTTTTGCTTGCTGGCATATCAAAACCTTGAATTTTTTTTCTTTTTTAAATAAACCCTCCAAAGAGTCGGCAGAAGTATTTTTCACATATAAAATAAAGTTCAAAATTTTCAATTATTGGCATTTTCTTCCTGTGGAAATCACTTTCTCAAGTTTGGAGTATGGGATGAGATTAGGTTGGATAAGATTCAAGGAATGAGATTGGATTGGATAAGATTCAAAGAGCTAGATTGGATAGATCATAGGGCTAGTCATGATGGGTTATATTGAAATTTAAAGACATATTTTGGTTAACCATGGGATTAAGTGAGATTCAATATAAATATTATTTTGCATTAACAAAAATATACTTATATTCAAATAAACTTAATTATTTTTTTATTTAATTTATTTTAAAACAATTAATTTTGCCTTTTAAAAAAAAAATTATAATAATTAAATGCCAAACCAAAAAAAGAAAAAAAGAAAAAAAGAAAAAGAGTAGAACAACTAACAGGTAGGTACTATTTAATTTATTTATTAATGGTGGATAAGTTAATTGATTCATTGAAAAAAAAAAAAAAATTTAATCTTATCCACCACCATCTCATGAACTAGAGATGATAATTTTTAAGTAATATTATTGGGATAAGACAGAAGACGGAATAAAAATTATCCCATCTATTCACCTTCCCAAACATGGGAAGAGTGGGATGGGATAGATTTTTTTGTCCCATCACACTGTTTAACCCGCATTAGAATTGCACTACCTCAATCTATCATGAGAAAAATCAAGACATTTACTCAGCATTATGCATCCAATCATGGGTTTTTTTTTTTTTTTTAATTCATTACAAGGAAAAGCAAATTTTGCTATTATATTGCTAAATTTTACTGATAATATTAGTTAAGTTTTACTTTTTAACAATAATTTTGGTATAAGCAGATTAAATTAAATGATATGAAAGGACAGCAGCTAGGGTCCATTTCTTGGACCACCCCATTAAGCAAAGAGACAAGTGCCAACTGTCTGCAGATTTTCTGGTGTAGAGCTGGCCTTCCACAGTTCCATGTTCTTCTTCCCAAGCATTTGTTACTTTCCAGTTTTAGGGTCCCATTTTCCCTCCTTTTTCATTACTAAATAAAGTGCTTTATGTGAGACGGCCTCGCCGTCTATTAGTGTTATTAATTTCTTATAAAAGTCTTTTTATGTTAAGTTTGAAGTGTGAGATTCAAAGTTAACTCTTAATGTTTTTTCAAAAAGTATTTTACATTAATATCTTTAGAAATAAATTTTCTTAAAAAGTAGTGCTATAAAATAATTTTTTTGTCTCATCTTTTTATATAATTTTTACTTGTTATTAAATAAATAGATATATTTAATATTACGAATCTCGCATAAATTAAAAAAGTCAATTATTTTAATGATATATCAAGTTGTATAAAAAGATAAAATAAAAAGATTATACAAAAATCATTTCCATTCTTAAAATATGTATTTAAGTAATGTTGAAAGTAATTTTTCATCATAAATAAATTTAAAAAAATATAATAATTAATATTAATTTTTGGATCGTCATCAAATAAATTAATTTATTTAAAGAGTTAATAAATTAAAAATTAATTTTTATTTTTAATATAAATTTATAATAAAAAATATATATTTATTAAATTTTTAATGTGTGCTTTAATACACAAACTAAAAAAACCCTTACAAATAATCATAAACAAATTCATACCTATTGTATTTAATTCTTCACTAAAATTATGGAATTTAGGACTGGAATTCTTTCTAGGAATAATGAACCATTACAATTGCAGATTTGAAATTTAACAATGAAGCGTAAAAGAAAAAATATATATATACTTAAAAATTATAAAAAGTCGGCGTTGCCTTCTTTGTCTCCTCTCGACGTAACTAATTTCCAAATCACAATGATTTTTTTTTCAGAGTTTCTTTATGTGGGTAGATTCTTCTCTTCACATTCTTCCTTGGCGGTCCATTCCTTTTCTTTTCCTTTCCCTTTCCCTTTCCCTTTCCTTCCTCCCTGTTATCTTGATGAACTGACCTTTTTCTTTCATGGAAAGGATGAGGTCAAGTGCAAATGGGATGTTTTTGAAAAACAACTCTGTCGGTGAAGCCAGAGGAAGCAATATGAATCCGGAGGAGTTGGAAATTCGTCCAGGAGGGATGCTGGTTCAAAAGCGGGATTCCGGTTCCGATCAAAACTCGGTTTCAGTTCCCACCATTAAAGTCAGAGTCAAACATGGATCCAAGTATCACGAAATCTATATCAGTTCTCAAGCAAGTTTTGGTAAATCGAAATTTTTTGAAGTACCCTTTTTCGTAGTTTCTTTGTTCTTTGGATGAGATGAGAATGATTTTTGAGTGTTTGTGGGTTTCCGTTTTCAGGGGAACTGAAGAAAATGCTGGCGGAACGTACAGGACTGCACCATGAGGATCAGAAGATTATATACAAGAACAAGGAAAGATATTCCAAGGAGTATTTAGATACTGTGAGAGTGAAAGATGGGTCCAAAATGGTGTTAGTCGAGGATTCAGCGAGCAGAGAGAGACGTTGCCTTGAAATGATGAAAAATGCTAACGCAGAAAAGGTATCCAAGTCTCTGTCACAAATCAGCCAGGAAGTCGATGAATTTTCCAAGCAGGTAAATGTAAAATCCCTTCATTTTCCTGTTTGCTTTTGTCCATATATAAGAAAAGGTTTTGTTGATTATTCAATAGGTCACGGCAATGGAAGCAACAGTTTCTACAGGAAAAAAATTTGCAGAAGCAGATGTAGATAATATCATTGGAAGCTTGATGACAGAACTGGTTAAATTGGACGAATTAGTAGTCAATGGAGAGTTGAAATTGCAGAAGCAAATGCTGGTATAATTTTTTAATTAGTCTGTTAGTTGGCTTCTGATTTTACTATATGATTTGGAAATTTAAGTGGCATTGACCTTGTTTCTTTGTGTATTTTATTAAAGGAAAAGAGAGTGCAAAAGTACATAGAAACTCTTGACATCTTCAAGTTGCAAAACACAATGCCGAGAAGCAAAGAAATGGAAAAAATCCCACTGAAGCAACAAGAGGTTTCAGTAGGGCAAAGGCTTAAACTGGTACAGAGGCAACAGGTACTGCAAGAGAAACAGAGGAAGAACTCAACAGGGCAAATCCCAGTGCTGCAACAACAACCTCTAAGACAGCAGTCTGAGTCGGTTATCGTCACCACGAAATGGGAAACTTTTGATTGAATCATAGACGTGATGAAATGGGAATTGCTTGGAAAGTCAGTGATTTGCACTTAGGTTGAAGATTAGATTACACATGAGAACCAGGATTGAAAAAGGTCAATCATGAATTGATGTGTTGGTATGTATCTTTTAATTTTTTTTTTTTCTTTATGAGAAAACTGGTTATTGCAAACTGTATATGGCAAATGGTGCAAAAGAAATTGGAATCGTACACTACTTAAAAAATTGTGATTAGGTTAGGCATCAAATTTTACATTAAATTGTTGGGCTCTGGGGCCACAAAACAGATTGATCAGGCTTTAAATTCATAGCTTACATTGTATTTGGTGGTAACTAGTAATTAATGGTTTCTCTGGCATGGGACCATCAGTCCAATCAAACTCATTTCCAGCTTGTTTTGATGGTTGAAAAATGTTCAGTGAATTAGAACTGGATAAGAATTGGAAGCAATCTAAAGTCAGCACTCTGAGAAAAAAGAAAAAAGAGAGGTTAAATACTAATTTTAGTCCTTCAACTTTTAGATTTATGCAGTTTTCGTCTCTCAGCTTTTTTCTGCTTTTTTTTTGTCCCTCAATTATTAAAAATATATATTTTTTAGTGTTTCTGTTAGTTAATATGTTAAGTTTGTATATATATATACACACATTTTTAGTCCCTTAAACTTTAAAATTGAGAGACAGAAAATGTATATATATTATATATTTTTTTGGCCTCCAAAATATATTATAAGTGGGGTTAAAAATATGTATATTTGGTCAAACTTAACAAACTAATGAAAGAACTAAAAAAAAAAAAAGCATCTTTCATAATTGAGGGACTAAAAAGGTGTATAAAAAGTTGAAAGACAAAAATTATGTAAAATCTTAAAATTAAGGGACCAAAATTGACATTTACACCCCAAAAAAAAGGACAGATGCCACTTTCTAATTAGCTTTGGAATAAAGAAAACAGGATGGGCCTTGTTTTCTTCCTTTTCCTTTTCTGTGGATCCATTCAATAACCCTTGATTGCTCTCAGCTTCACACAACCTGCTTCAATTGTCTACTATAATGAATGATGATAGAAGAACACCCATTTGCTGAGCCAGAACTTATTATAGAAATTTAGTTGGAGTGGAGCTTTTTTCAATAACCGTGGATTGCTCTCAGCTTCACCCAACCTGCTTCAGTTGTCTGCTATAATGAATGATAGTAGAAGAACACCCATTTGCTGAGCCAAAACTTATTATAGAAATGTAGTTGGAGTGGAGCTTTTTTCAATAACCGTGGATTGCTCTCAGCTTCACCCAACCTGCTTCAGTTGTCTGCTATAATGAATGATGATAGAAGAACACCCATTTGCTGAGCCAAAACTTATTATAGAAATGTGGTTGGAGTGGAGCTTTTTTCAAAAGTGCCTTATGATGAAATTGTGTAGATAAACTTCAATAATTTTAGAAGCTGATAAAGAGACCATTAAAGAGATCATTGGAGGATTTTTGTTTTTTAAAATTTTTTTCCCACTGCAAGGACAAAAAAGAGAGAGAGCATTGAAAACATTGGAACAGAAGAATTTGAGTCAGTTGAGAATTGAGATGATTAGCTTTGGAGAAAAGAAACTAGATATGGGACCAGGCTTATTCTTTCCCTTTTGGCAGGATGCCTGAGAATTTGGTTCACTTGCATTGTCAAATGGTGTGAAGGAAGCCAAGATTAGCCTTTCTGGTCCATCGGAATAACACCTAAATTCTAGTTATTGGGCCTCTTTGTAATTGAACACAATGGATATGGGTTTGTCTAAAGTCCATTGTTTGTTTAAAAGGCTTCTTTTCAGGGCTCAGCTAGGCACGCTCAGTTGAATAATCAAAGAAAAATCCAACACATATCATGATTTGGAATCTGAACTCAATGGTTCACATTTCACACGGCTAAGGCAGTAACTATTTGGAAAAATCATTGAGGTATGATTTGCCCCAAGTCAAGAAACCAATTGACATTAACAATCCACATAAACTTCAGGTTTCCTGAGCTGCAATAATTCAACATTCACTATCTTGTTCCACTGAGAGACTCTCTCTTGTCAACTCCCAGGGCGGCAGTTCAAAGAAGATTATGCAATTAATTTTTCATCCTTATTGGAGAACATTCAACCAGGTGTATTGTGTTTACTTTCAAAACAATCCTTGCCTTGACATACGGTATATGCTGGAGAAAAACTCACCTAATGATATAATTAATTAATACATATCAACAATCAAAACTCTCGTGATTTCAAAGTTTTAGTAGTAGTTAGATAATGATTTGAACTCTTGATATTGAAGTTTAATGTTGTAGAATTGCATGAGATATGCATTGATTGAAATTCAAAATGTTTGAATTATCTAGGTATTACTGAAACTAATTTTCCTACCCCCTTGCCAAGCTGCAGGCCGTTGCCAGCCGTAACTATCGTTTGATCTAGTATATTTTAAAGTCTTCATGTTATTATCCTAAATATATATATATATATATATGGAAAAAGTGCCCCTATATATATATTGTCTCAACAATGCTAATAAATCATACTTTGCTAATAATC